CCAGCCCTCGTCTTGGCTCTGTTACCTTTCACACCTCGAAGGGTGTGCGGACTTTGGGGAGTTTTTCTTTCTTCTGCCTGGGCGGTCTGACACCCAGGGGTCCAGGACAGAGAGCAGACGGGTTTGCCCCTCCACCCCCATTCAGATGTTTGCGGCTGCGCTCCCTCTTCAGCCCGGACGCCCGCGTCCCTTTCCGGTTGCTCAGTTTAGGAGTCCTCGGCCAGGTGCCCATGGTGCGCCCCACCCACTCTCGCGGGCCGTCAGGCTCCAGGGGGCCGGGCCAGGCGGGTATAAAGCAGCGCAGCTCCTGCGCAGCAACTGGGAATCCTCTGAATTGCCTGCCGAGCTGCCAGCTGCCTTCCAGCCGAGTCCAGGTCGCCCCGGCAACCAGCGGCCCAGCCAATCAGCATTCGGGAGGCTGCACCTCCTGGCACTCAGTGGAAGCCATGGCCGGTGAGTGCTGCACGCGGTGAGACTCTGGTCCCCTGAGCTTCAGCTTCGTTAGTCTGGAAGAGAATTCCAGGGCGTAGGCTTTGTTTTGTTTCTTGGGCCAAAACTGGAAAGGAGAAGAGGTTCGGGCCCCGGAGTGATCCGGAGAAGGGGAGCTCCTGTTTCTACCCAACCCGTCCTTACAAACTGGCGGCCTTTTAGGGCAGTACTTACCCAGGAAAGCAAAAAGCCCTTCCAAGCCAGGTTGGAAACTAACCTTCAAATGCCAGATGTGACCCACTGTACGTAGCTCCTTTGACCTTGTAGTATTTAAAAAGTTTAGAGTAAGTTGCTAATATTTAAAATACAGATAGAGCCGGGCGTGGTGGCGCAGGCCTGTAATCCCAGCACTCAGGAGGCTGAGGCAGGAGGATCGCTGTGAGTTTGACACTAGCCCGGGCTACATAGTGAGTTCCAGGTCATTTTCAACCACATAGTGAGACCCTGTCTCAAAAAACAAAACAAAAAACCCCCAAAAAACAAACAAAAAAATGCAAATAGATGGTTTCACTGAAAAAGTGTGCATTTCCAGCTTCTGGAGGAAAATGCGAGGTTTTGACCATGGTAGGGGCTGGAGCTGGGGAGCCGGCTGTCTTTGGTTTAAGGGAGAGGAGGTCACTTCAGTGACATCATCCTGGGCCCTTAGATGTCCCCACTGTTCT